TTAGCTAGTTCCCCAAATGATAAGTAAAAAATACCGCTGATCGAGCCTGTGCGTTGTGGAAGGCTTCACTGTTTTTTTTTCAAAACAGGGTGGAAATTACAGCGGCAAACTTATACGTTTGGTTCTTATTATTTTTTCAATGTGAATGTTTCCAAGTCACTAAAAGTTTAGCTGATCCAGCCTGGACTTTAGTACAAGTCAGCCATTGTGCTGCTGAGTGCTTGTAATATGCTGACGTGCATGGAGTTCATTATATGTAAGCAGATAAGCGGTGGCAAAATCCTAGGGCAACTTAGTATGCAGCCATTCAAGAAGGACCCAAGTGATGCACTACTCATTGGGTTGCTGAAAATTCTTCGACAGCTCACGACCGGTTTCGCTCTTTTTGGGACTCATTAGGTAAGTACTGTCCCCGAGTTTCCGTCAACCTCATGTTCTACTTGAACCTAAGTCGCCCGAAATTAGCTAAATACACTCATTTGCATACCAATTTAGTTTCGACGGGAGACTCACCTGGAACACAGCTGAATCTCTCGTTTATGATGTTTTTTTAAAAAGGACGAAACCGGTCATGGGCTATTGAGGAGATTTCAGCGACCTTACGAGTAGTGCACTACGTCTGTACATGTATCACATGTATCTTACCAAGTGATACATGAGGCGGTCAGCTGCTTGAAAACGTCAGACACGAGAGATTCAGCTGAGTTCCAGGATAGTCTCCAGTTTCGCTAAGGAGTCAACTAACCTTCCTCGCGATAGTCTTCTGTTCGTGAGGATTACTGTATTTCCCAGTACCTGAAAATTCACCAAAGTTCTATTGATTTGTCTAATCCGGCCCCTCTCAAACGACTACCAAGATATTTCTTAGCAAACGAAGGTAAACTGATCAGAAGAAGACTAATAGTTGGACACCCAATGGAAGCTAGCTACTTGTGCGCAAACAGTCCTGCAGCCCCCTCTTCCGGTAGACAAATGGATAGATAAGAAATAATATCTTTTGCCTGCATGATTGATGAGACTTGGTAAGAACCGCATAATTGAGTGTTTGACCACACTCTGTGCTTTGCGACGAAAATACCCAAAAATCAAATTTCATCGAAAGTAATGTGCCAAAGCAAATTTCACTATTGATTCCCGTTAACCAAATGGGTCTGATCGAGCGGCACAGTGAAACAAATTGAGCTCCTTTCACGCCGGTTTTTAATCGGGCTGAATCTGCTGCGCTGTATCCAAACAAACGTCGCTCACCAATACTCATCGTCGTCTCACTGTGTGGCCCGCACGAAGTCTCTATTTCCTACCTCCTTCAAAGTCCTCATCAAACTACCGACCTAGCAACGTTCCAATCTATTGGTTTTTGATCAGATGGCTGTTGGTCTGTCCGCCGAGCTTGGTAACTGACTTGCAAACGTTTCGTCGCCATACAAGGAGACGTCATCGGTGCGCAGTTGGGTGTCTTCTGATTGCATGTCCCTAGCTGTCTTTTTGTCGAAAGCTCATCTTCAAACTGCTTCGCCTGTGTTAGGGTGAATTTCTGGTTAGTGCTCTTGATTCGTGAAGCACTGAAGGTGACTTATTGACGTGTTTTGTCATTTTCACCATCCTGCTCTGTCAATCTCTACAGTCACAATCTTCCAACATCTTCCAAAGCATCATGTTACCAAGCGAACTGTAAAAAACATTGTGCAATGCATCATAGGCTCACCTTCGAATTTAATAGCTTTCGAGAAAATTCCGACTAAACTCAATTGTCACATCGGGAATGTGGGCGCCCTTCTCGGGTTGCGTAACGAATTCCTGAAAGATCGGGGCTACGTGCGGATGACGCAGTTCCTTCAGTCAGTAGCAACACGGAAACTGATGTCAGAGTTCTTTCACGGTAACCGACTTAATGTAACAATAACCTCGCCTTTATACAAAAACAGGACGATTCCTATTATCGGATACTATATTTGCCCTGAATGTAAAACAGTATGACAGGTATTCACGGACTATCTTACGGTACACCCATCCAGCATCATGTTACGGTGACGGTTCGGTTGTCAAGGCAACAGTAAACCGCGGAAATACAACTTGTCTACTCATATTTCATTCATTCAACTGAGGGCACTTATTTTTCGTTGCGACGTTTTCGTATCAGCAGTAGTTGCAGAGGTATTTAGAGAAAACGGCAATCCAGATTCTTCTAGGTTTGTTTATACTTGAACTGCATTTGTAACTCATACTTTTTTACCTATTTTCCCTCAGAACTAACATAACAAACTACCAAAGTTTTTTTTCCGTTTCACCTGATGGCACGTTTTCTGCGTTATATCATTGTTTTCTCAACATTTGTCTGTTTTTATTTTTCGCGGGGTGACTAGAATCATCTGTGGAGTGACCTCGCACAGTCGGAAGACACAGCACGTTTACACATATAACTGAAATATTCCACTACATTCTTCATCGCAATCCCGCCCATTCATTGGTTCCATCACACGTGACTCTGTGATATCACTGTCAGTCAAACGTTATCACATACAGGACTATCCATCTCTTTCTTTATCGATTAAAAAGTTGAACCATCTTCATTTGTTGCTTCGGAAAACCACACGACCTGGACATGGTATATGTGAATCACTATTAGTCGGCTGTTGGTGGTCCTGAGCAGCTGGCTGTAATAATCAGATTACAACGATGGGACGCCTATCAACTATGAAATATCTCTTCAGTAGGCAGAACAGCCATTTGCTTCTCGAGTAACGTGAACTCTTTGGTACACGTGGAATTGTTAGTCTCCAAGTTCTCGTTGGCCTAGTGACTCGAGACAGTTAGGTCCTTCTGATACTACCTATTATTCTTTGTGGTTATTTTGTTTTCTGTTCTGAAAATTTGTCGTTTAAATGTTGTTTATAATCTGGCGCGACCAAGTGATCCATCGTAAGCTGTACTTTTTTCACACTAATTATGTCTTATAATTTGCTTGTATTTCCCCTGTCTCTCGTTTTCGTTGTGGTTAAGAATGATAGTAAAAAATGGTTCTTCATGGCCATAAGTAATAATATGAAAGTGCTTCTCCCACGAAAACGGAAAGCAACATACATTGAAGACTTTCCTAAGCTCCCACATAGCCGAATGCTCACTCAGATAATTTTTCTCGAAACTAACACCACAGACGTCAAATTGTGGAAGTATTTTATAGTTAGAGAGGAGCACGCTGAGTCATCTACTGTCGTCGACGAAAACGTTATCGCGGCTTTGTCCTCGAAGCTAACTAACCTGATATTTACTTCTCCTCATTTCCTTATTGGATGCTAGATGATCGAGGATAGATGAATTCGTAGACAAAACACTCAAAAATTCGAATATCGTGCCAACTGAATCATGAGGCGGCCTGTGTGCAGCACATTCAGCTGGAGGACATCATAAACGAGAGATTCAATTGAGTCTCTCGTGAAAACCAAATTGATTTGCAAATGAGTGTATTTCTCGAAAACAGTGCAATTTGGGTTCAAGTGGAACATAAGGTTGACGGAAACTCGGAGACTGCGCCTACCTGATGAGCCCCAAGAAGGGCAAAACCGGTCGTGGGCTGTCGAAGAGTTTTCAGCAACCTTGTGAGTAGTTTCCTTTATGAAAAAGTTGACAGCTGATTCGGACCGGGCTTCACATCTAACGTACCAAACAGTCCCATATCTCACGTTAATACTTTTGCGGGATTAACATAAAAATTCGATTTTTCAACGCTCAAAAGATTCCCAGAGTCAAATCTACTTGAATTACTTGTTTTTGTCTAGCTTACATAGGGAAGAAGGTCAATGCATCTCATTGAGTGGTATGCCAGATTTGAATAAATCTGTCGTCAGTATGGTCGGATCGATTACTATCAGCCAACTTGAGTTCAACCCTGTGTGCGCACAAGTGATTTTCTGAAGCGCGCTTCCCGCTAGTTCTCAGTAACTGGTCTTGGAGAAATCGGTCATACACGAAATGACCAATCCAACATCTTATCTAAACAAACTCTGGTTGCGTGTAATGTTTCTGAGTTGCAATTAAACGAGCTCAGAGAGCTGTTTTCGAGACACCCATTCGCAGAACAAAGAATTAGGAATACTTCATATTCCGTAGGGGAACTGCTGCTCTGTATTTCTCTAGTTCTCTCAACAGAGGCGATCGGATGGCATCAACGGATAACTTATATTCGTTATAACTCATCAATTAATTGAACCATACTGTCACGGATGACGCACATTTAGTGACGTTTCCTAGATCGAATACTTCCGATTAATTGAATGGTGACCGGGATACCTTATTGGTCATGTGAATGGGTGAAAGGCATTTAGGACCGCGGCGAAGGGTGAAAACAATCCACGAGCCATTTAAGCCACTTTTACTTTCAGAAAGTCACTAGTGCAAAACGGATGTAAGAATATCAATTTCCCAATGAAAATCACATCATTCGTTTCGAAAGCACCACTGCAGTATGTTGCTTCGGAATTTGAGTGAACTGAGGGAAGCGCGTGTATGTGGGATCGTGATCCTTTCAAATTCCTCTTGGCATCACTTTTCCCATTGATACTCGTTGGGAATGCAGATGGTTATGGTGTGGTCCCAAAGCTAAATAAAAATGCTTGATTTGAATGCTGAATGAAGCGCTAGTAGGGAATGGATCGCACTTCGTAGTTCCGCACCCTTGTGAATTCTCACAACTAGCCCGTTCGAGACCCAGGCAAGTTAGAATTGCGTCCACTGTCACACAGAAGCCAGGGAACAATCGAGAGCTATGTGCACGAACCGTACTCACTTGTCAACTACAATACTTCCCTTTATTTGAAAACCATGTACGTAAACTCTCAGAGATTGGTCAGGAAGCTTTTCAATGGATGAAAAATCATACATGCTGGTCAGCTTTCCCAAAGTACTCGCTAGATTGCCTTAATCCCAGTGCGAATTCCGACCCGCCGCAGTTCACTCATTTTGGGCAGAGAGCCATGTGGCCTCATGCTTTTTCCAAAACCTTGACAAACTGAAAAATATGTTGTGTATGACAGCCGAGTACATGTTTCAAAAAACCCTTCACAGCCAGCCTAATATGCGAATTATTTCTTCGCAGTACAAACAGACAGTGGGCACCTGAACTTGGAAATAAGCTGACTCAGAAGCGACACTTGTATGTCAAAGAATGACAGTCAAACAATGGTTCAGCTGTGACACTCTTCCGGTGCCACCCGAAGGAGGCACGAGGGCCGAGATACTGCTAGATTTCCTAAGCCTAGACAGAAGTCGGGTTCGAGCGACGGACTTTCCGCTCAGTAAGTTTGCAGCCTAACTAATGAACCATCTCGAGATCGTAAGTCAAAGAAACTAGTCAGAGACCTTTCTAGTGGCCAAGTTGTTTGCTGAAATCGGCATATTTGTTGAAATCGTTTCGTCACTGGTGGAAATGACACCATCAGTCCGTTGATGCAGAGCGAAGCGGACCTGTGCGGTGAGTATCGGTGTGCGCAAGTTCTTATATAAGCTTGCGAAGGGACTGGACTTCGATTATGATTGGTCTCCCCGATTAATAATGTTACTGAGTATATTTTTCACTCATGTTCTGATTGATCGACCTCCAAGTGCTCTTTCAAGATGACCTCTGATGCGTACCCTATGACCTTTGCCTGACTAGTTCCGCCAATCGTCCTGTCGTCTGATCCGTTTGTCTGATGTTCGTTCCCGTGTAAGCTTCACGAATCTATCAGGCCTCTGCATCGTTCGGGTTACCGACATTTGTGCACCGGAAGGGTGCCGAGTTTGCTGTTTGAACTCAAAACTTTGCAAAATTCAAGTTGGAATCCCACACTACTGCTGTTAAATACAACCGAAGAGTGTAGCGGTCGTGAATACCTTGTGATTAGCCGAAGAGCATCCACAGTTAGTTTTGCATAGGAATTATTGACCTTGATTGAGAGCCAGCGAAATACTCTAATGCAGCCAAATCTCGTTCATCCGAACTTAACGATTCGTCCTGAGGAAAAGTGCAGTGCACTTTTTTGGTTGCGACAACATGGAAACAGTTCATCTTCGGAGGGATGAAAACTCACAAAAGTGGAACTTTCGAACAAGCCGATGTGAATCAGTGGGGAACAGAGTCTTCTGATAAACACCAAGAACACGGGTCAGTAGCTTTGGGGGTGAAATGCCCCCAGTAGAGTTTTCATCCGCTTCATCCTATACCCGTCGACCCGACACAAATCAATAAACCCGTTTTATGAGATATCGGTATTTCTTGTGTGTTTCGGTGAGGGGGATACGGGTGACTGTACAAAACCAAATGTGTCGGTTTACACAATGTGATTGATAAAGCAAACTTCACGAAAGAATATTCAGGTTTCTCACGTTCGTTCTCATGGATGCGTGTTTCGGTGCCGGAGCCCGAAATGAACACAAATGCGAAGGTCATGGTGGAATTTCGGGTTTGGTATCTGATTTACGGTGCTGGCATACGAGGACTGGAGGGAAAGACAACAGGTCAACTAGACAGTCTAATTCTATATTGGATCACCTGTAGTGTGATGATACCCACGTCCTAACGATGAGGACAGCATGGGGTTACAGGATCCCCTGGAAAACATGGTGATTGTGTCTTCCGGATGAAAAGATGCTCGCCCCATAGTTGTCCCTTCACCATAAGCGTTTACTGCCGGGTCGCTTGCACCTGGGGTGAGATAAGATTGACTGTCCGCTGGACAAGTAATATTCGACGTCCTATCGAGAGACAACTGAGTTCCGCCAGTGGTGTACATGTTTGTGGCATTTCTGTCTGCAGAACCTCTGTTAGAATGTCCATCTGATGGTTGTGTATCCGTAGATTTATTTGGCGATAGTTTAGAGGCCGCCGCGGCAGCAGCGGCTAATGTTACTGCTTTGATAATGTCCAACGCGGGTTGACAATGTTGTCTTGGGCCGGATTCCGGGTGATATGTAAATGTTAAGCCACTCGAATAGATTAGGCCGTCGTGTCGTACCAGGCTGATAGGCACCTGTTAAGGAAAAAAAGCGATAATGACAGTAACCGAATAGTTTATCGGTTTTCTGGGGCACAGTGCAGCAGTTAAGAACACCATAATCACAGTCTTGTTATTATCACGATACAAGCAGTACTAGTGTTCACGAGGAACTGTTCTCAAAAATAAAAAGCTATTTAGAACACATCACATGGTAGCTGATTCTTTCTGAGGATATCGATGTTGATGATCGCTACTCATTGTGGGCATGTACAAACACCCATGAGGCAGGCACGAACTTCATTACTGAGTTTGAACTCGACACACAGATGTGGTGCAAAGCGCAGCTCACCGCTTCGATACACCGGAACCGCAAAATGTGGCCAATTCATGGCGCTCTGAAGTTGGCGAAAGAATAAAATCTTAACTCTAAAAAGATGGCCTCCATATCTGTCATCCTAAAAATTTTTCCAAACTCATGTTCACCCAAACAACTCAGTACAAGGTCAAAGCCGTTTTGGATCCCTTCGACTATCCGTACAGTCGCTTCTTCGTACTTTTACCTGCAAGGATTCCGACTCATTCATACTAAATCTGTGTTCTGTCTGACCAGTTGTGTGCCGTAACCACAACCACCCGTGTCCGTTCTCTGTTCATTCCACCGTAGAAATGATCCCATCCCCTACCACTAAAACTATCTTTCAATGGCAATTTGAGATCCGTATGGTATGGTCGGTTGTGGGTTGTGCGTTCATGCTGTGAGCAGAGGCGATATCTTCTGTGCTGTGATGTTAGAACCAGGTGAAATACAGCTTCTCCAAACATGGCTATTTTGGCAACCCATCCGTTCGTGAACAACAGATGAAGAGGTGGTCATTGCGCTGAATGGACTCATAAGGGAGGTTCATTCAGCTCGCACTGCCTGAGTGGTGAGACACCTCAAACAGTACTGACTGATGAGTACCCCCATCACATTCCGAAATTTTTGCGAATTTGTGCGTGCGGGTACCGCATTCAAATAAGCATACATCAATGCCTGCTATGATCAGAGACCCGGGCTTTCCATGCAGTACGAAATATCACAAAAAGCGGCAACTGTCGGATACGGAGGAAACCCCAGCTTGTTCAATTTTTCTGCGAACACTTGGGACTATGTATGGTAGATAGCAGATTTTCCTATCGTTTTTACCATCTAACATTCTCTGAATCCAACACGGTTGATCAAATTGGAACGACCGTCTGCCTCAGCCAATCGCAGTTAATTCGAGTACTCAATGTAGGGGAGCGCTTTCATTTGCCTTTCCATACTGTTTCGATCCCTTCAAAAGCACATACATAAACTCGCGCACACCACTACTCAACGCACCTTCTACACACACCACAATTCAGGACTTCACAGCAACGTACTTATGATGTCACCCCGATTGATAGCGGAAGGTCTGCAACGAAATTGCCGAGCTCAGTGAACAAGTCAACCCCCAGTCGAACAGTAGCCTTTAACTACTAGCAAGGAAGGTCGCTTTATAGGATACGCACTACCGATCGTTTTCAGCGAGGAAGAAAAACCTGTACAGCGCTACCCGTCTTTCCAGCCTTCACTTGCAGGAAGAAATTTCCATCGGACTATNGAGGACTGCTGACCCAGTGCTTTGATATTTTCATGACCAAGCCACTGAACTAAAAGTCCACCGATGCGAGTGGTGTTCATAAAAGCTTGTCCCCAGTACGGGAATTATTCGATCATAGCCAGTGCAATCGATCAAGAAACATCTGAACAACTGTAATGTTAAACTGAAAGAACGACAGAAACCTCAGGAAATGGTGTGATTTTCACACAAAACCAGTACATGACTTAGGATTACAGTGTTATGCCCAAATTAAACACTTGGAACTGATCTCATACAGGTATCTCGGTTTTTCGAGAGTAGCTATGGAAAACGTCGGGAAATTGTGTTGGATGCCCCAGCACACATTTCGTGGCCTGATGAGAGCGTCAACTGGATACTCACCCTCCAATTTACAGGAAGTTTATGAGGCGATCTTTCTGTTAGTGATTACGGCATCCGTCGGTGTCTAGTGCGTTGAGAATAAGCTAAGGGGGCACACCTAATCAGATGACCAACTTTCGTTGCAAACCAGTCGGAGTGAAGATTCAATAGTAAATTGTAGGGAGGAACATGTGGAAAAATTACCGATAGCTTCAGAATCAGAAGCACGAAAAAGGTATATCAGTCTCGAGAACGAAGAACGTTTCCTCCCAGCATAAGGAAACAGAATTTTCTGGGGTGAATTAAAAGAGAGTTCATCAGAACGGAGAGAACTTTTAACCGGATTCGTTTCAAGCTGTACCGTCATACAAATGACTTGAAATCAACGAAATACACTCATTCGCAAACAATTTTGGCGAGTGACTCATTTAGAACCCAGCTGCATCTCTCGGTTTTGATGTTTTTAGGAAACTGAATGTATACCGCGATATCTCGTCTCGAGTAGCGACTGAAACATGAGGCGTCCTGGTGCTGCACATTCAGTTGCCTGGAAACACCAAAACCGAGAGATTCAGCTAAGTTCCAGGTGAGTCTCGCAAAACCAAATTTGTTTGCAAATGAGTGTACTTCGCGAATTTCGTGCAATTTTGTTTCAAGTATAACATAAGGTTGACAGAAACCCGGTGACTGCGCCTACCTGATGAGCCCCAAGAAGGGCAAAACCGATCGTGGGCTGTCGAGGAGTCTTCAGCAACCTTATGAGCAGCGCATTACAAAAAAGGACTTGAAATTAAGTTTTCCCCGCAAACTTTTGCGGTTTGTCGTGTCGGAGTTGTTCTCAATACATCATCTGACTTATGCCTATCGGTAGTGTGTGTGTATGTGTAAAAATAAGTCAGACGCAGATACCTACAGAATCCATGACGTTGCACCCTTATTTGTCTAGTCCCCTGAAAAAAAATAGATTAGGCGAAGAACTCCCATGGGATTCACCCTTCGGATAAGCAGATTGCCAGTTAAGCTTTACTTGATATAAGGCTTTCGATCTAAAGGAAGATCAAAACTTGGAATTCATTCTCCTAGAAGTCGAAAACGTGAGAAATATAAGTGTGTTGTGTTTGATGTTTGTGTCTGATGTTTTACAGATCATGGGTAAGTCACACTGAGTAGAAGAGGGAGAAGAGAGAGTAGAAGAGGATTATGGCATCTATTATAGAATTCAGCCTAGATACTCCTTGAGGACGGAGTTACGACGCACCATGGATCTCACATGCAGTCAAAAACGATGAGGGACAGAAAATAACTCACCTCCAGAGCCTGCTGTATGTACTTCCAATCTTGAAAAAACTCTGATATGTCTGGCACAAAACAAAGTAGTAGTTCTTCACACCGATAAAACGTTTGGGCGGGCACATCCCCAAACCACACTTGAAGTCGTGGACTGAAATTTTCTCCAACCAGTTCAACCATTGCCACGTCCCCACCGCCGTTGACTCTCATGTCTCTCACTAATGGGACTGGAGTGACCGGTGTTGTGATCAAAGGTAGCTGAGATGGACGCAGATCCGATATCGTCAGACGACTCGGTTCGAACCAGCGGTACTCCGCTCGATCCGTACTAATGATCGTCCAAGCAGCTGAGTCGTTGATAATCTCTCGGTTCGGATTGTCTTCACAAGCGGCTGCGGGAAGCTGTACAATCTTATCCTGAGACAAGCATAAGTACATGCGATCGGTGTCCTTCAAGTGGAACGCACATTTGTGCAACTGACTCACTGGGTCATCCGCATCCAACAGCACTGTTGTTTTATCAACTTTACGTACGATCTGTAATAAGAGGTGCACGCGGGGAGGAGAATTCGTACGATTAACCACGGCTAACAGATCAGAAGTCAGAGCAAGATGCGAGAGAAACTAAAATTGAAACGCTCAAACAGCAACGCGCTGATTAGGTTATTCTGCTTGTACAAAAAATTTGGACAGCTGCTCAGATTTTAGGCAACAGACTTATACGTCGAATTCGACTGCCACTTGATCCCCGAACCAGGTCGAGTTCGACGCGATTATAAATAAACCGATGAGATAATGGTGAATAATTTTTTTTAGCAAATTGCGCATATTTTTTCCCTTTCCGATGGTGTTTTTCTATAATTCGTGCCTAAGTACACAAGCAATCTATCGCTTGATGTGTAGTTGATTATTTTCTGAGTCAACCACTTGATATGGATTCCGTGATTGAAGAGTGAGTGGCGCTATGTCCTGTCTAAATGAGATATAATCGCTTTGCTGATCAATCGCTTTTTACTGGAATGTTAGGCTTTCAACCACATCCCGGGAGGTTGCAGATTCTAATCTCCCCGGAATTTCGTGAGATAAACGTAGCTGCTGATTAGTAACAGCTGTACAGTGCTCTTCGGCTTTTCACGATGGGTTGGCTTCACTTACATTGGCGCAACTCAACTGGAAACTTCTGGAATAGCCTCAACGAGTGAAAACTCATTTGTAACATCTATTTGCCAATCTTGTTCTTCAATGTATTCTTTCACTTCTTATACGCTTTTCTCATAACGTAAACCAGAGATATTGATAAAACCGTCTTGTGAACACACTTTATTCAGACCAAATCTACTTTAGATAGAAGTTTCCGCACAAGCGAATGATTTTGGTCAGTTCTATGGGTGTTTTCCCTCAATAGGAATCATCGTATAAACACCTTTGGGTCTTTCCAGAAACATATTCATAGGATAAGTTTTTTAATGTAGTTTCTGGCGATGATGTGGAATATAGGTAGCTCGGCTGCGCTGCTTGGTTGTAGGTCTGCTCGTCAAGGTCGATGAACAGACCAACGACCTTATGTAGTTTCTCCCAGACAATGAATTGAACATTCCAAAGAGGTGAAAGAAATAACAACACCAAAGTTGGCCTGGTTGATGGATTTGTTTTAACAACCCCTAGCTACGAAAACACGTGTCAATTGTTACAGTATTTGGTTCCACAACAGAATGGTCGTTATGCATGTTATCGAGGCACTCAATCATCGCGTGACTCAACGAGTAATTATTTATTCATTTTTATGTAAAAGGAGCACGAACTTTTCGTGTCTGGTGGAAGGTTACGTAACCGGTATTTGTCTATTTTCGTATGCATTAAACCTTAAACATGCGAATGATGATAGCTTTGTTCTGCTTTGGACTTCCGGTCCAACTCGAGCAAATTTAACGTAGGACAAGACAGAATCAGAAGATACTCCTCAATTATTTATCTTCACAAGTAGATGTTCATGCCGAAGTTACAGCGGACGTGATTGTTTACTTTGGTTTCTATTTTTACGGCTACAAGCACCGTCACCAATATCAACTTTATTGCTAGCATTCAGCTACTTACCTGTTTTTTTCAAACTATAGAGTAATCGCGGGACTGAATCCACACAGCTTTGACCGAAGAGAGGGAACAACTAACGAAATCAGCTCATTTGCAGATTGCGTAGTTGTTAATGAAAGACGCAACTGAACCTCTCGTTTGTGATACCCCTCAAGCAAATGTACCGCACAAAGGTACTGTCATTTTTCGGCTGCTAGATTAATCGAGTTATCGCAGTACGGATTTCCAGCAGATCATACTACTCATGGGGTTGCTGAAAACTCGTCGGCAGCTCGCTACCGGTTTCTTCAGCAGAAGCAGCAGCTATACGCAGTCCATTAGTTACCACTACCCTTATGTTCCACTTGAACATTAGATTTCATGTTTATAAAGAACAGCTGAGTCTCTCATTAACAACAGCGTCATCCGCAAACGACGGTCGGGTGTTCAAGTAGGCCGCAAGACTGGTGAAAACTCGGGGACCATTTGATGAATCGGTAGAAGGATAAAACTGTTTGTAGACTGTCGAGGGGTTTTCAACAACCTTCTCAGTAGTATGTCCTACCAAGAGAAAATGAACTATTGTTCCATCAGTTCCCATCCATGTTGAAACAACTAGATATCAGTCGCTTCGAAGGTTGGCGCCAATCTTACTAGTTAACGTGGTTCGAAGTTTCAACCGAAATTACTTTTCTCTCTATTGTGAGCCGTGATCCAGAAAAGCTCACCTAAAGCCCGACAAATGTATTCCGTAGTAGTTATTTGCATAGATTTCATGCAAACAATGTTCGGTAGTGCCATGTGTTTTCAGTATGATGTTCTAGGACTCCACATCAAATATGACGGCAAACTACCTCTGGAACAGATAAAAAGTTTTCGTCTCTTCGGTAAGCCGGAAGATTCCGGTAGTTTTGGTCGTTCCAAAATGGCGGCATTGCTGAGGAAGGTACTTCTAACATCAAGGTTATCTGCTTCTCTTCCAATGCGAGTTTACAAGGTAGTCTGCAGAGAAGACAGACGCTCCGTGGATGTGAACATTTATATCTACCAGTTAATATTTCTACTTCCTGACCACCATCGCGTTGTAGTGACCTGCCCTATACCTCGTTTTGCGATGGATGGAAACGTAAGGCGGCTGTGTTATCCTCATTCCATTTTTCACTTATCTGCGAACTCTCTAATCGTCATACCTGGATGCTATCTGATAATCGAATGCCAAAAAATCAATGATGGGGGTAAATAATATGCACAAATCTGGCCCCACTCCAATGCATTTGAAGAAACTACCTTGAATCTCACTCACTCTTACCTACCGAAAAGACCGGCGGGCCCAATCGAAGGTGATTCTTGAAGAGAGTAAAAAGCTCCCATGAGAAGTAAACTGCAACTTGATTGGTAACACTGCCCTAGAGGGTTGTACCCAGTTTCTAACAAAAAACACCGTCCCTCAGATGATACAGTTATCTCCGCTAATCTCCACTGAGCAGTTCAAACCTGCACAAAAGCACTAGCCATATTCAGACAGCCAACAGCACTAATAAGTCTAATCCAGGCAAACTCACCAGACGGGGCAATGCCATTCCGGTCTCCGAACAGACCAGCTTCACTGTGTGTCCGTAGTGAATGTATCCGTCCTGGACGGTAAACTGTTCTGCTTCTCCCTCATCATCTGCCAAGAGATTTATCGTGAAGGCTCCCCACCGGCTTGAACTGGCATGGAAACTGGCATCTTCAACATGCAGATAGCGAGTACTTACGGTCTGCGAGCGAAGCCGGTTGAACAGTGCGACTTTGGTGCCCGAAGCGATACACACTGAAACAACAAACAATTACAGCGGCTTGCGAGTCATCCAATTCTGAATGTGATCTACTAGGCTGGGTGAGTAAACGAGCCTACAAGTGGTAGTCATGCAGTAGACGATTATTCTGACATCATGTCACAAGCAGGTTTCATGGCATTCTCTAGTGTGGACCTCTTCAAACAGAGCTATGTTCCTTAGTAGGAAAAATAAAGTGTACAAATAGAAACATAAAATATTAACAAATCAAACGTAAAACAAATAAAAAATATAAACCGCTCACCCGTGTTGGGAGTTGCCAAATACCATCTAGTCTACTCTCAGTATTATCATCCGCGCACAGTTTACTTTGACTTTGAAGAATCTTAGAAGTGTACTGCAATACTATTTTAGCAGAACTGGGACACTCTGATCCAGCGCAACCCTGAGTGGGGCTGCCTTAGTCCGATCAATGAGTTGGATAGTACGTCGTATTGACAGACAGTAGCTTAGTTTTTCATTTTATGTTTACTACTTAGATGTTTTCAGTAGGATAAACATGTTTCATAATTGCGCGGTCAGCGGCTGCTTTCTGCATCGATGATCTATGTCAAGCCGCCCATCAGGAATAGACTCTTAGCGTAACTGGTAATCAAAGGTCACCTGACAGATTAATCTACACACACATGTGATAGATCTGAAGGATAGCTAAACACCCTGTATAACTGGGACACTAGTTCTGTCGTGCATGAGCCAAGCTATAAGTCTGACTGACGAGCTCAGAATAAGGTCTGGTAGTTCTTTCTTTGACCCCATAAGACCTCTCTATATGGTGCCCCCAAAATAAAGTCCTTGTACACCCTTGTCCCCGGTCATTTCAGCTGCCTTTGCTACCGTATATCCATAGCTACTCAGAGAATTATGGTTAGGTAGAAACAAAAGCCAGAGAAACGATCCACTGTAAAACAAGAAAAGCGGCTCAGTCTGAGTTACTACGCTTGCCTTTGTTCCAAATAAATCTACAACGAGATTACCCGAGAAACCATGTGAAATACAACAATCTAGTCAACTGTACGTGAAGCGTCTTTTTTCATCTATTCTGCAATACTACTATTCTTCTCTTTCGTGTATGATAATTTGCCCAAAGCTCAATCAGTCCATAAGCAAGTACACAGCTGAAGCAAGTAGCTCAACCGCGGAAAACATCGAATACCACCAACTGTGGTGGCTCGGTCATGTGCTATGCATGCCAAAACATCGTCTACCGAGACGAGTGCTGTTCCCCGTGCCCCCGTCAGAATGACGCAAACTGTGAGATGGGCAGTGAAAGAGATTATGAAGTGCCTAGGTGTTGGTGTGGACCGAGACGTGTTCCCCGTGCCCCCGTCAGAATGACGCAAACTGTGAGATGGGCAGTGAAAGAGATTATGAAGTGCCTAGGTGTTGGTGTGGTCTACCCTTCTAGATGGGATCCTCCTTGCACTTAACTGCAGGTATTGATGACTAACCAATGTCAGTGGTGTTTGCGCCGTCAGTTGCTCTTCGGATTATCTGATTGAGGTGTAGGCACCTCAGAATGCTTGTCATAGACTAGCATCTGTTCCCTCCCTCATCCACTCATTTCTCTTCTCCTCAATCAAAGTCTTTAAATATATTACATAAACTATGTAGTCGTACGGCAGTAAAGCTGAAAGTACTGCTGAAATTGCGAGTTGTCCGGTTGGTGCGATTTGAGAGAACCGCACGCACGTACACAAATCCCAAAATAGCACAGCGCACATCTCGGACCACACATACTCAGTCAAAGTTTAACATGTCCAAAATTCATGAGATACTGTTTTATCCGTTATCATCAGAGAAGAAGGATGCTGATTGTGAATAAGTCCGTCACTAGGAGTTGCAGTGTGAAGTTCTTATTCCCTTCACATAACTCCCGAGTCTTCGAATATTCGCACGGCTGGCACAGACTTTATGTTTCGTTTTGTCACTAGCCGACTGAGATGGACAAGATTACCTGGGATCTTGGGAAGGCGAATGCTTTGTTTATGCATCAGCCTGATGTCAAAGGCCCATCGCTGAAAACAGTCACTGAAACTAAGTGGAAAATCGGTTATCTGTGCATCACTTTGAAAGAACAAGTAGTTCGGTTCAACCTCGAAAGAAAGGTTCCGGAGAACAGCCACATTTGGAGCGGTCTTTCACAATCAAGCGACGGTCAACTCAACGATGCGCTCTTAGACGACCAAGTAATACGGATGTAGCCATATCGCAATCAGTACTTACTGGGAATCGACTCCAAATCACATGGTTCCCAATGGGTGTATCTACTTGCCATATCAAATGTACACTGTTTGATGCAGTTCGTGAGAGGCTACTTCACTGCGTCAAACTAGAAACGAATAATATAATTGAGGCAGTAGTGGGTTGCAGAATCATCGGCTTCGTGAATGCTATCTACAGACAAGATGATTATGGCTATTTGTCCAGCTGACTAGCAAACCTTTTCAGTGGTAAATTCTGATAAATTCAGATCTTTCGCTGGAGCAGCCACGGTGTTATCGGCAAGCAAACCAAAGAGTCTTATTATGGGAAATTGGCGAGACGGCCTATTTACTACCGGGACGAACTCATAGGACTGAGGATTCGTTCGATCCATCTGCCCCCCCCCCCAGATGGCTACCTGTCCACGCTGACTAGCAAACCTTTTCAGTGGTAAATTCTGATAAATTCAGATCTTTCGCTGGAGCAGCCACGGTGTTATCGGCAAGCAAACCAAAGAGTCTTATTATGGGAAATTGGCGAGACGGCCTATTTACTACCGGGACGAACTCATAGGACTGAGGATTCGTTCGATCCATCTGCCCCCCCCCCCTCAGATGGCTACCTGTACACAACGAGGCTTCGTGGATGCCAACCTGTCGCTTGTTCTTCTCCGTGTTTCGATAGTTCAAGCCGATGGCTTTTCATAGCTGCGCTTGGGTGTGCATGAATTTGCGACTCCATAGGCTTCGTGTTCTTTGTCTTCAGTGGATCTACAGCCTGCTTAACATTTCATGGTGGACATCCGAGCAATATTCCTAATGACTACGGTTCATTTACTGTATGCGGCTACTTACAATCAGTGTTCTTCAAAGACTGCTTCTTTTTGCTAGGTTTGGAGATCACCTTGATTCGCCGTGAGTGAAACTGGCCTAGGTCTCTGCCACTCGGATAGAACATTTTCAGCATGAGCATAAAATATTTCCGCTTGTCCGAATCGGAGATAAACAGAGTTTTGGCATTCGAGTAGTCACGTCCTCTGTCCAAATTCAGTTGAACCATTTCTTGTGGTGAACTCGTGCCACCGATGCCCATAAAAGCAAGTAACTGTGAGATAGAATCGAAGGAAAGGGAGGAGTCACTGACAAGAAACGGATGCAAAACACAACCAAATCCGCTGCAAATCATTCTCTGTTGGTCATCATACAGTCAGAGGAGGCATGCACGATGATTTAACAGGCAGTAAAACAATTAGCTTTAATTTTGTCGGTGATCGTTACACTATGAATCGTTTGTTCTCTTTATCCAGTTTTTACTTCGATACGGAATGATCCCCCGGCATAAACTATTCCCCTAAAGTTAGGCCACCCGCTAAGCAAAACCACCCGATTAAATTTCTGAAAGACTTAGCTTTCAGTTGATATCCTTTGAGGGACACATCCAGTCCCAGTAAAAGTCGCTTCTAGAGTCTCCTGGATGTGACAAAGATGGATTGGTTTTTCATGTATTCCAGATTCAAGTAAGTGACTGACTAGTAGCGTTGAAAACAAGTTTGTTGTAGAGGTACTTTGGGCCCCCAAAACGTAATTGTTGTTTGCATGTAGCTCAACTGCATTAAGGCAAGGAAAACAGTGGTTCTCACCACAACCAATGTATTATCTTCTCTGGAGAGTGTTCATCAACACCTACCACCTCTTGGTACAACACACCGGAGGAAAATCCCGCGGCCGACTTTTGATAGAGACTGTTATATATGAGAACAACAAGACGAAATCAGGGTGGAATGACTTTAGTATACCCATCAAGCCGTACAAACCAGTGCAAAAAGACAGTTCAGTCTGTTTATCAAGTGGACTTGGGAAGACCATCCAATACGCCTGAGGGGTATCAGGGAGCATTTCAGTTAAGCTGATTAGGTTGAAAGCAAAAGTACACGAATTCTGATAGACCATGATTACTGGTGCAATAGGTCCCGTGCTTGAAAAAGTTAATTAGTGGGCTTAAATAACCCAATGTGACCAAACCCTCGCAGATCTCTTGATGAGTTCATCTCCTGGTGGAAAACTGTATAAAAGTAATTGACTTACGATCGACACACGAACTGGCTTTGACTCAGACGCGAGACTACGGCTCCATTTCAAAAGGTTTTAGTGAAACAGTAGAACTTCTAATCGCAAACTCTCGCCTTTAAAATGGTGTTTAGTTTTGAGCTAATAAAACAAACCTTATAAAAAGATCTATAGAGGGCGACCTTGTCACGCGGGCGGAATAATTCCACTAGCTTCATTCACTCATTCCACTATTGTACGAATTCAAGCCCATTTGCTCTTACGGTCTGTCAAAGTGTCACACAACAGTAAACAGGAAAAAGGCAACGTTGCATAAAGTTCGGTGTACGGGACTGATTAATGATACGTTAGAAGAACCTGTGAACGCCGCTAGTAGCTTCAATGGAGATACCTGACGGTTTTCACTCCATCTGTGTATCGCATTGGTCAATGTAGAGTTTTTATAAATGTGATATACTGAATAGTGAGGAGAAGCACAGAGCATTTACCAAGCCCTTAAAAACCGAAACGAAGATTGTGGTCTGAAAAAGACCGTTCCATGAGACATTACGCTCCACTTAGTACTCACTAGGGTGACGATGGTAGGGCCAGGTATGTGAACACAAAAAAGTGTTACTACTGAACACATAGTAACATCTGCACATCTGTGATTTGCGTTATGAAAACAATATATAATCAAGCAACAGAGACAACGGTCGAATTTTTTTCAAGATGAGTTTTGACTTTTGAATCTTTATAAGGGTTCGCGGGCTCCCATTTTGGTTGCTAAGGCCAGTTTAGCAGAACGGAAACATAAGGTGGTTTTGGGGATCCGTTAGAGGTGGCCTCTTTTCCAAACCCAACAAACAGCGCACTGAAGATGTCGCCTCGAATGGTGACGAAACGTTTGCAAATCAGTTGCCAAGCTCGGTGAACAGACCAACAGCCACCCGATCCATTACCAACTTTTTTTATAAAGTTTGAGCGTAAGTTTTCTCGCAAAATGGCCATGCCAAAATTTCGATGAATACAATGAAGACAATCTCCTGACAGACTAACTAACCTGTGATGCGTCTGAACTTCCTAGGGCTGAACTGGCCCCGCTCATCTGACCGGAGGCGGAGGGAACTAGACAGGGATAACTGACTTGAGGAAGGGTAGAACACGACGGAATTTCATGCCCACTTCTCTGATCGCTTCCAGATTCCAATTCACCGGAGTTCGCGCCGTCACTTAGGGACATCTGTTTATCGGGGGTTATGCCCCAACCTTCTCCTCGCAAATAAACACAAGGTGGTGGACAGAAAAACCTGTAAGAAGTAAAGGAATGGGGACAAGATAAATTTGTTGGGCAAAAATCATTCACACCATATGCGATCATGACTGTGCTGTAGAATTATGTAACTGATTTGGACAAATTTACGATAGTCCTGTACAGTTATTCCCCTGGTCCAACAAGTTTTCCCATGATCGTCAAGTCCGTCTACAGCAGTCAGACACACCAGCCGTCCATCCACCTGGCAAGTCCCATCATTTTTCCTGACGATTTTAAGCTACTTTTGGCGCGCAGTAGTATGAAGTAGTTGCAACTATCAGTCGACCAGGTATGGTGTATCGATGTTATGAGTCCGCTGGTGGGCTACAGCAGGTTTTGGCATTCGGTGAACTGATACGAAGTCACAGTAGAAGGTGGGAGTTACCAAAGTTTTCTACAAACCCCAAGACAACTACTGTAGATGCAGTCCTGTTCCAACCCGACTGTGCTTGGCTTCTGGGTTTTTACCTTAATCGCCTTTATCTAGTTCTTCCTAGCTACCCTTTTACCAGTCCATTTTCAACGTAAAAGTGAAAGACTCCATGATATGTCTAAAAAATTTCAGTTTGGTGGGCAGAAAGGCAGCATGATTTAAAATTTCTGCCTGATAGATCCAGTTCAGAGCTACACTTAACATAATGTTGTGGTTGGACTGAAAAGGGCTTATAAAACAATCCTGAAAAACCCCTTTTGACTTTTCTATTCACCTGATTAAAGCAAGTACGATGGAGGTACTGTTGGAACTGTTACTCGGACCCGCACATGTGGTTCTCGATTACTCGAATCCATAACACTGAAAACGTACTACACACGGCTCCGCTGCACTGTCCCAAATTTATATGCCCGTGATCTTCCGAAGGGCGAGAGTATCTTTGTTTCATTCGAAACTACCACGGTCGTACCAAACACTGATTGTATAAGTGGGGTACAAATCCATGCTTCAACTATTTCACTGTTTGTGGTGATGATCTTCTTAGTGATGGTTCTGAATAAGGTCATGTAATTTTAGACGTTCCAACGTGACGGAAATCCTGCAGGAATCAAATTGTAACGCGCATAAGACTCATCGATTCACCAAACCAAAAGGCGGGTGACAAAGTTGTTCACAAGAGCTACTCGCTTGGCTATGGTCATAACAGCCTGAGAATAGATAGTTGTTGATAGAAGGTGTCCTATTCGGAATCAAGGCTACGGCTGTTTGGTGCATATCCAGAAACTAAAAACAAAGAACTGAGAGCATTTCAGTTAGTGCGGCTTTGTATGAAATTGACGAACGAACGGTACGGAGACGGTTATTTGTGAGGATCCATTCGAGTAGGGAGGTCTGGGGCTCGGAAGCCGAGTGCCACACCAAGGCCAGCGCAGCCTACTGCAGCAGTTCCAGAATCTCCTGAGTTGGATGGACAACGCCTGGACAACCGTAAGCCCAATTATCATACTTGGATTTGAAAATGCAGCGTATATTAATGGATAAATTTCCAGGAACACTCGCTAGAGCAGCTTGCTGACCAATTGGTCTTTTAAAGGCTACGATAAAATAGGAAATCAACATTTGAGAAGCGATAGTTGTGGTGGTGGCGTACTTTGAGTCACTCTAGTAAGTATAAGACTGATATGTTTATAGCCGAGATCTGCTTTGAAATATAGTAAGAAGGAAAGTAGGAGATAATAGTGAATAAAGATGGAAAGTCCAGCGGTAGATTGTTTTCGCTTAATGGCCCTGCTCTATGAGGTAAGTAAGGTGACCCGGATGCTGACACCACGCGACGGCCAATATATTGCCGTCCATGGATCTATGCAGAACGAGATGATAATTCTGTTAACACAATTAACACTTTCTTGAGTGCGATAGCATATATTTGTTGCGCCGTTCCCCAGCCTAATGTTTTGTCATTTAAGCGGCAATTAATTCCTCGTTCTTGTAGCGACAGAATCGCAATCGTTCGTTCACGTAAAGTATGACCTTGAACTGACCACACTTTCTTCAAACTGCAGTGGCTTATTTTCCATGCTGAAGGTTCCCCATATGAAGACACTGACCATAGATTTTGAGTGAAAATTGACAGGCATTAATGCGTTTGTCAGAGGCGTCTAACAACTTGAAGTAAGGTATGGTATAGATTCTTACTTTCGTACCATAGCCCTGCGGTCTTTAGATGAACCTTGCTTTTTCGACAATATCATTTTGGGGCTTTGTATGAACTCGTTGAATACAAGGTGGATTCAACATGAGACAACGTCAGGGTGCCAAAACCTGGACAGAAGGACGATTGGAGTCCTCAAGACCTTGGCTTAGAAGCATCATCATAATGCAGCGACAGTGGACGTAGGACAACCACGGTAGTCCGGCTTTTAAGGAACACTTTGTCAAGCATGTTCCAAATCATAACCTGGAGGTCATGGGACTCTTTTTCTGACCTTTCCTGACTGACCAACTTGGCATGGGACACTGGGTGAATAAACAATCGCAGCACGGTTAGGTTCGGTCGCTTTGAGGTTTTTTTCAGTCCTATTCATTGGAAGTCAAAAGAGCCTGTTATTCAGTAAACAACTTCGTTAAATGAAAATTCCAATTCCATGAACCGAAGTTGACCGCCATAATTAGCGTTTCACACACTAAATAATTAACCAAAGGGGCCAAGCTCCTCTGTGTACGCGTCCAGGGATCATATAAGATGCCTAATTATGGGCGTTAACCTGCCATCGTTCTGCAAAAAACAATTAGCCATCAATTTTGGTTGTGCAACCATTCCTGCGCACAAGACAGTCGGAAACAATCAGAAACGGACTAATTTTTTCTAAGGAAAATCGGTATGCATAAAGACGACAATCCAAAACGAAAGAATCCTCAGTTTGTACGAGGATTTCTCCTCACAAGGAGCTTCCTTGCAAACGGTATTGGTCAAATGACAACGCGGTAGGTTCAGTCAAAGCGGAGTTTTGCAGATACCTTGTAACAGTTGCAGAAGTCTCGCTACATCCCGTGAAGATCGCCACTAAACGGCAAAAGTCAGTGTGCAGTGGTGAGCTTAACTCATTCAGTCCAATATGACCAATCTGTGTGCCTGTTCACATTTGGTGGTATCTGTCGTCCGGCCAAAATCAGGCTTCAGCAGATGACTCCGCACAGTATGCAACACTGGGTGCCGCATCACTGTGCTCACTTAAGTCACCCTATGTCAAGCTCTGTCACTTGCTCATAAGCGATCCACTATTGGTTCCCTCTATGCTGGTTTGCACGTTGGCCACTCAACACTACAGTGACGTAAACCACAAAAAGCACGGGAGCAATTTGGTGCTGATACTGGCTCAAGCCTAGCAACGAATATCACAAATCACTTGGAGGAACTGCACTAGCTCGGTCAACCCGACTAGCTAGTGAACAGCGGTAGAGTGATCTTACTAGCGCACCCAGTTTCGAATGAGAAATAAAGCTGAGAAACTTATCACAAAGGAATGTACTCACAAGGCCGCGGAAAACTCTTTGACAGCCCACGACCGGTTTTGCCTTTCTTGGGGTCCCACAGATTCGCTTCAGTCTCTCGGTCAACCCGACTAGCTAGTGAACAGCGGTAGAGTGATCTTACTAGCGCACCCAGTTTCGAATGAGAAATAAAGCTGAGAAACTTATCACAAAGGAATGTACTCACAAGGCCGCGGAAAACTCTTTGACAGCCCACGACCGGTTTTGCCGTTCTTGGGGTCCCACATATTCGCTTCAGTCTCTCGAGGACTGCGGCTATCTGATGAGCTCCAAAAAGCGCGAAACCGGTCCTAGGCTGTCAAAGAGTTTGCCGCAACCTTGTGAGTAGTTTCCTTTGTGAAAATACACTGCAATATCTGGAATATCTTATCAACTGAAACATGAGGTGGCCTTTGAACAGCACATTCAATTGCAGAAGACCATCAGAAACAAGAGATTCAGCTGAGTTTCCCGTGAGAGCCAAACTGATTTGCAAATGAATGTATCTGGAAAAATTCTGCTAACTAACCCACGCTGTAGCTACCATTCAAATGCGCCGACCAAATTGGTCTCTGTGTGTGTGTTTCTGTCAGTCCAACGTGGAACACAGCAAATTAATTCACGTTATTGAACCCAGTCCCCTCACGAAAGAGACTCACGGGACCGTTTCCTTCACCGGACTTCAGGAATTTCGTTTCAACCACCGTCAAACAGGACTGCGACCAGAAAACATCAAATGTGTTAATTCCGCACAGTCTGCCTCCTACACTTACTGTCAGAACTACTCACAGTCGAAGCCGGAAACCACAACATGCTAGCGTAGCACGTTCTCACGGCTATGTGAATCCCCTAACTAGTTCGTGCATGTCTCTGTACTTGCATATTTGACTCTACGAAGAGCTTCAAAAGAATCCGCCTGCTACCAACAACGTCTTAAGACAATCTCTCCGTGGTTGTGATCAAAGACATGAATAAAGATTTACTGCACAACACACGCACACATGGTGACTATGCAGGTTTGTAGTACGTCAGTGTACGCACACACATGCTGAAAATATTACTCGCTGTCACTAAAAACGATTTGTACTGACCACATAATGAATACACATGAATTCACAGATCGGTAAAAGCGGATGTTACCTACCAACTGCACCAGTGGATTCGTAGGACGAGAGTTCTCCAGTTGAAAGAGACAGAAGAGCATCACAGGACGAACCGATAGAGTTCGTGTGTCTGCACACACACACACACACACACACACACACACACACACAGACACCGGTATTCAGGTCACAAGGATGCAAAGTGCTTATAACTCTGATGCTAAAAGTAGTGTAGTTAGCACTTCTGGTTAATGAGATGACCTAACAGAACGTAACATGATCCGGCACCGAGTGTCCTGCCTCTCAACGCGGACTTAAACATCTGTACTGTGTCGAGTGTATTGGACTGGGAGTACTTGGTGTTTTTGAGAAAACTCAACGAGACATGAGCGGCTTTGTTTTCGAGACCTAGGGTCACTCAAACGCTTGGAGTATGGCCTAGTTCACTAGATGACCTGAAGAAGGCAGTACAAAGACCCAAAGCAGAAGTACGTAGAGTAAAATACTTACTCGAAAATTGCTAGTTGCAGTGCAGTCGGTATTTCTACAACACAGGACTGTGCCTTTTCGTACACTTGCACTATAGACTCTGTTGTCTACATGCTGCAACTTAATCTTTTTGGCAGTACTTTACAAGTTCTGTGCGTGGTGCATCGAAATGTTTGCGCCACAACAAAGTGAATCGTGGCACACTCGGTGACCCGACTCAGACCATCAAGTGATTCAGTAGTACTAGACGACAGGTTCCTCTGGAACTGCGAAGCACAACAGTCCACAGCTCAAGGAGCGCATTCTTTGGGAATCCTTATACAGACAGGAGTTTTACAAGACGGCTCGGGACTATTTGCACACCCGCATTCAAAGATTCCTACATGATGCGGAAGCCATCCAGATGATCTCCCTTAACAGACCAACTAAAAGTCCGGGGTATTCCACTGGGGTGAGGCGAGATGGCCCAAGTGGTTAGAGTGCAAACTTACTGACCGGAAGGTCCGCGGTTCGAACCCGACCTCTGCCTCTCGACTTCCGTTTCTAGGCTTGGGCAACCTGGCAGTATCCCTACCCTCATGCTTCCTTCTGGTGGCATGGCCGCTAGGCACCAAAAGGGTGTTACAGCTGAACGATTATTATTATTATTCCGCTGGTGAAATGTTATTCATATACTAAAGCGATCTTCTCCAAGGAGGAGATCCTCGCAGATGAACCGACTGCATTTCTTAAGGTCTTTCAGTTGCCGGTGCAGTTGTCTCTCTCCAGAGGCCCAACCAATATCACCCCTGAGAAGAGTCCACTTACGGACGCTGTATTTGCTAAACCCTCCTCTCCTCAGAACAGTCAGTATGCTGATGTGATATTGCACTACTTGACCGACTATTGTTCGGCTGACTGACCAACCTAACAGCAACCAGAGTGAGATAGAGATCCAAAACTGACGCAGGAGGTTGGTCAAAGATTGACCCGTGTCCTTCATGTGACCAAAACCACACGATGAGTAGTTTTCTGCTGACAGCTGGTGTGGAACAACCTGCAGGTGTTAACGGAGGTGAACACACAAAAAACCGTTCACAAGTGAAATGCGCCTAGAGAATCACTACGACCACCTAACAGAGTAGACAAAAGTCGATCCGCTGACAGTGCTACCGCCAGATGGGAAATTAGTATGCTTTTCTAAGCCCTCCTGTTTGAGTCACCATCTAATACATAACCGCAAGACAGTTGGGAGTCACGGAAATGTTCGCTAAGCACATACATCGACAAGTCAATCACCATATTTCCCGTACACAAATGGGTACGTGCAGTGACATAGTAGACAGTCGATATTCCCGAAGTTAAGGCATGTTGACATACCAGGTGAGGACAACATGTGGCGGTCAACCTGTGGACAGTAGCACTTCAAACGGTAATCACTTTGGTAGGCATGACTTCTCTTACAGCAGGTTTGTGCCTCTGATGCTCGACTCTTCGGATGCAGAAAGGAACTGTCTCGACATTGCGTATTATGTGTCCGATAGAAAGGAGAGTTTCTGCAAATGCCCTGAAATGTTATGGAGATTTAGACACTTTCCGACGAAGAAAACAGTGATCCGAAGATTTGAGCAGTAAACTGTACTCATAGGTTGCGTTGTGTTGGCTTGACGTGCGATTAGTGTCTGTCCAACCAGCAATACCACATCGGGTTTTAGGGAGGCAGACTGGATACCACTTGAACAGAACGCACAAAATAGTATAATAATCCGAGTACGTTCGCTGCCTCTCCGCAGGCGCGTACAGCAGATAACAGCAGATAAGCGAACAAATCGGAATGATGTTCATCAAATAAGTCTTCGAACCATCAACACAACAATAACCGGATGATTGGTTGCGGCTCACCGGTGCTAGTGCAGGTCATCAACTCTTACACTAGACCATAAACGCAAGTTGAAAAGGGATGTCGCATCCCAGTGTTAACTAATCGCCGTGGTAACTATGCGCCAAATGAAGGCACGCGACTTATGAACATATCTACTACCATTCGGTTCAGCTCGTCACGTGTCACACGTGGCACGTTGCCCACGCCGTCAGTTGCATTTGTGATAAGCGGCCGCCAAAGGTTAATATCCAAGGCTCTGTTTATCTTCATACCTGAATGTGGGTAGGATTTTTCGGCATAATGACTTTATTGATCACGACTGCGAATAATGGGAGCAAACACATGTCTAGCGGCATTCCGCAACGTGGATTGAGACAAAAATCGAGTGATCTACAACGGTCAAAACCCTCTACGGCACATCCTCTACTTCAGCGGGGAGTGACCGAATATTTTCAGGCCCCGTCAGGTTCTGTTTTTGGTTCCTGTAGCCTGCAGATGAACTTCAAGTCAACTTGGTCTCCCGTATGGCCCTTACGCGACTACTCATACTGTTCCGCCGCGTAGGTTGAAGACTGGACGTGTCACAAAAATGGATATTTCTACGTTCTCTTCATAGCTGCCACTGGCTCGCCAGTAGATTATGCAGGGGGGGTATTGAAGTTGCGTGTAGCAGGAGTATGGGTTTGGATGTTCCTAACATCTCAGAGCTGACAGTTCGAGGGGGAAATTGTGAATGATGCATAAACAAAATCCAAACCACAACCGCCACTTTACTAAAAATTCTTCATTCAGCTGTATTTCTCGTCCAACTGAATATACGTGGTTAAATGAAAAAATTATTTGTCCCTGGATGGACAAATAATTGGAAGAAACTCCCACGGTCCCTAATCACCTTCGGCTAATCAACCTAAATTACACTAATTGGCTTAATTCCTTAGGGTGGATCTTATCCAAAATGGTCACGTCCTCAAGGCAAAAATTAAAGTGTCCTCCATAACCAACATAGCAGTTAATGTGTGTTAATGAGACCACTAGTACACTAATAAATATTCGGTACTCAGTGGGATTCAAACTGAAGGCAGATGATTGTCGTGTCACGTGCGAATGGAATCTGTCCAGTGTGTTTCGTTCGGTGGTTAGTTTCAATGGCGTCTCTGATAAATTCAAAGGGCTGTAAGTGAAAGGATGCGAAAGACATCTTTCGTGGTTTCCGGTGGAAGCTGTGAGAAGAAAGATACTAAGTTTATCAGTCTGGATGAAGTCTCATACTACAAGAGAATGCCCAATTTTGGCTGGTTTTGAGCAAACCCTTTCTCCTAATGTACCGAAACTACCTGCCGGTATCAACGAGGCGAAGATTCTTTAACTGACCTCTGCATGACGCAGAAAAATTAGTACTATCATATTCCATAGATTGCCGATAAAACCTTCGAAGAGGGCTTGGAAATCCAGCGACTGCATAACACAAGTTTTAAGCTATCTCCCAACGACCAGTAACCTACAGTTAGTTCATGGTTTCTTGCCTAAGACTTCTATCGACAGCTCTTACTCACTGAGCAGGACTGTATCTACAACTAGCTAATGTGGCCGTTTGCATGTGGGCGCACATATCCTCACGGATCCGGCAACGATGTGCTTCTCTTAAACTCTTTCAGCATTCACCAAGAAACAGAGAGTGAAAGGTAACCCTGACTGCGTGCCGCACAGCTTGAGAGAGCCCATACTGTGTGCCAACCATTCTGCTTCTCCTGAGGGGTAAGTTGATCAGAAACACGAACCTTTGGTAAAGATCCGTGTGTGAAGTTGTTGGTGGGCTCACGAAGAACATGGGATCCGATGAAAGCTTGAATATACAAACAAAACACGCCATCTTCAGTGTAGAAACCTTCATCTGAGCTTTATGTTCTTCGTGTGATATTCACAAATCGCATACGGCATACACACTTCCACTGCAGTCTTCACAACGACATTAATATAACCAGGCCCATATGCGCAGCGATAAGAAACATAAGAGTGTGTTTTCTAGTACAACTGATTCTTCACACATTGCCCAATTTTAGTAAAGATTTCCCCACATAAATGAAGTCAATCTAGGTTGAAAAGCGGTGCGCAGCTGTTTTATTTTGTTGGGAAACACCAGCAGTGAATAGCTCACAAAAACCCAGGGAGCCTTGGATCTGCGACCTCCCGGTAGGCAGCTTGAACAATCAACCGTTTGGCGAAGAGCGGCTGAACAGCAGTGTGACTGACTCGCACTTAGACAAAACATAGTAACATTCATCTTTCAATCATGGAACCCACATCCAGTTATACCTAGTTCGAAGGCTGTTTTCGTTGCGGAATACTGTGTACACTTTTGAGTGCATTATGTCGGCTCTGACTGCGAGACGTTCGTATTTGGGAATGATCATACATCCACATCCCGAAGACTCCGAAAGGAGGAAAGCCATACAAACACCACCACTAGGCTCGTGGTATGTGGAGCTGGAGGGCCCAGTCACTGAATCTCACTGCAAATGAATGTAGTTCAGAATAGCTAAATCTCTTGGTGAGGACCACAAAAATTGAAATACTGGTGCAAAAATCAAACTGTCACATCGACCGACGACTTGTACATCTTGACGGTAACAGCAGTCAACTGCCGGTTGACAAGCTGTCAGTTGATTGTCGTTATCACGCAAACGTAGTATCGTGTAATCCAAGGCACAACTGTTGCGTTTTTGTCGTTCAGATCGATTTATCAAGTTTGTATGACAGTTTGAATGTGGCGGTGGAGGTATTCACTACAAACAGTATCTTCGGCGAACAAGATTACTCGTCGCACAATCTTAATCGGTACGCACCCGAGCGAACTGCCCAGTCTCAAAGTCAGTCGCATTTGGAAACGACGGTTGACTTCTAGGAGAATTGCTTTCAAGAGAAGCGCGGCTATCTGGCCTTGAAAGTAATGCATTTGCTACGTTTATGTGGAATTATGTTAAAAACGGGGAGAGGGCCACTCGTGGGGCTAGCTGGATAATGGACATTTCTCCCGTTAGGCACAAAAGACGCCCAGTAATAACTGTGACGGGAAAGATTTTAGGTTTGTCGGAGACATTCCTCTTCGAGCCGGGCAACCTGCTAAATAACTCAGGCATACCTAAAGTTTTTCGTGTCGTGTGGAAACACTGTCATTTGGGTACGCCTGAAGTGAAAATGACAACATTATGTGGAAGTCACTAATCAAATGTTACACTGACTCTGGAGACCTCACGCGATGCAAACGATTGCAGCCTGTCAACATTTCTAACAGCGTTGAAAAGACCAAAAGCGGTTTTCACCTATTGAAGGAATTCTCAGAGTAGTTTTGTTATATCTGCTGATTCGCCGGCCTGTGGTATCTGCTGCTGACCCGCTCCAGTGCCTAGTGTCGGAGAGAAAAAGGCTCACGGAAGGGAACACAATAGCTAGATTCCAACAAAGTGGTTGCGAGAGCGCGAGTGCGTGCGAGTGCGAAAAGTACAACGGCCTGAAGCATTTTATTGGAAGGACACTGCCTGAACTTGGTCCAATGCTGACGCACGCGGTCTGGCTTTGGTACGAGGCGGCGACGTGCTGCATATTGCGGAGGCGTTGTCTGACATTGATCAACGCTGACTCGAGCTGACTGGGTTTGATGCAAGGCCTTGACGCGCTGCATATTGAGGGGGCGTTGTCTGTCTGGTCAACATCTAGCGGAGCTGAGAGTCTCCGTAGATTCCGGGCATGCAGTGGTTGCTTTCAGGAAGCTGACCTTCCTGATAAGTTTCATCGAAAAATAAGGAAGAATCAACGAGCTTAATGGCCGTCAGCACTGGCATCAGTAGAATGCACGTCCGCATCATTATAAGAAAAGCAGCATGGATTCCAATAATGAAACTGTCCAGTTTTCAGAGTAAAACTATGTCAAACGACAAAGTGGAGGCACCGAAATTAGAATTTACATAAATGACGCCGAACACCGGCTGCATTTGGCAGTCTTAACCTGCTGGCTCATCATGTATTCATTTCAAGGTAAACATTGCGCGACTAGCCAGTGGCGACTAGCAATGATGCGAAAAGTGTCAGATACACTTTTCATTACATTGTGCGGCGAGATGGCTTGATGTTTAAAGCGCGAAGGTCCGTGGTTCGAAACCGACCTCTGCCTTTCGACTTCCCCTAAGTTTGGGCAGCCAGGCAGTATCCCAACCCTCGTGATTCCTTCTGGTGGCACGGCAGTTACGCACCGAAAGGGTGTTACAGCTGAACGACTATTATTGTCGTCACGAAGAGACTGAACCTTACAGTAGTGTGACGGTTCTGTGCCTCCTTGACCCACTCAGCTATATTGGGTAGTTTACATGCGGCAATCACAGAATCTCTCATACCAGGTTGGCCAGTAATTAGAGGTCTGACCCTGGCAGTATCTCAGCCCACGTACAGCCATGACGGTTACAACTGACAATATAATCATGCCATATTGGCCGTCACGTGGTATCACCATCTGGGTCACCTTACTTGCTGCGTACAGCTGACGTCTCTACTCGCCATTCATTACACTGATTTGTAGCTTCTCTACATCCAACTTTAGTAACAACCCTTAACACTTCAAAGTCTGCTTTCAGACCCCCAAAACCGGTCTACTTAGCCGCATTTAATGCTCGTAATGGGGCAACAGGTGTCTTATGTTCGTATACCACTCCTGTTTGACCACCAGCGTGGAATACAACCATGCATTTGTACGAGACTGCTCTTCATTGCGCTTTTCAGGTCTACGCAAAACGCGCACACCTTGCTTAACCATTGAGAAGCTAGTGGACCAGTGCCGCACGGTCCGATTTCGGATGTAAATGACCATTGGGAAAACATATCCCAAGCGCTACTCAGGGCCGAAACTTCTGTTTGCGGTACAGCCAAGCCAACCCCATTCAAACCGTGGATCTCTGATAGGACCGTGTCTTTGTAGAGAGCCCAACGAAAGATTCCCGCTCACCACAAGCACAACTCTGCCTGGCGCATCATCCAACGCCAGGTGAAACTGAGTGCCCTTGCGAACCGAGAAGCTTGGTGGACCCGAAAGGCCGAAGAAATGGAAGATGCAAAAAATGCTGGAAACGTCCACCAGCTGCTCCACTTGATTCGCTCGACTGGTCCTCGGGAGCTTCTTGTCAGTGAAATTATCGGGGAGCAGAATGGCTCCCTGTTATCCAGCAAGGTGAAACATGTAGACCTATGGGCACGATACTTCAAATGGCAATTTAGTTGGCCACCTGAATTCAACAGATAGGTGGAACGTAGATATGGAGCCGCCTTCAGGTTCAGAAGTGTCCGAATGTATTTCTCTACTCAAACGTCAACGTGCTGCTGGTCTCGAAGAATTTCCACTTGCTCTTTTCAAGAATGGTGGTGGATTTCTCAGTTGGTGCCTGTCTAGCCTAGTTGGGTCTATCTGGGAGAAGACTGTCCCAGACAAGTGGATTGAATCGATAGTAATGCCCATTTTCAAAAAGGTTACTCTCCGTGAATATAGTAACCACAGAGGTGTTAGTTCGATGCCTGTTGCGACAAGGCTTCTGGCGTCACCGATTCTTTGTCGTCTTACGGTGGTACGTGAAGCTCTTGACTCGTGAGGTTCAAGCGGGATTTCGACCTGGTAAAGGCTGCGTTGACCACACATTCACACTCCATCAGGTGTTAGAGCAACGTCACATGTACAGGTGACCCACAATCTTGATATTCCTAGACTTGACGAGTGCGTTTGATTCTGTCGATCGATCAGTGCTGCTAACTTCACTTGCTTAAAAGGATATACCCCAGAAGTTCGTAAACATAATTCGATCCCAATATTCACATACTTCTGGGCGGGTGAGGGTGTATGGTAAGCTCTCCAAAAGCTTCCCTACAAAAAGTGGTGTCAGACAAGGAAGCCCACTCTCCCCATTGTTGTTCAACTTCGTCATGGATGAAGTAATGAGGCGAACACTGGATGGTCTTCAAATCCCAGATATCCAAATTCTTACTGGTGAGAGCCTGGTCGATCTGGAGTACGCAGATGACATCGCCCTCATCTTTGAAGACCATAGTGAAGCACAAGCCCTGTTAAATAAACTGACCACCATCGTACCATCTTTTGGCACGCGCCTTACACCTTCAAGGTACAAAGTCCTGCTTCAAAAAGTGCCATCTGTGAACATATCCCTTACAATTCAAGGAGAATCACTGGAGATTGTGGAAAACTTTACATATCTCGGTAGTTGTATTAGCTCTGACTGAGATGTGTCTGATGAAGTCTGTGCGAGAATCTCAAAGGCATGAATCATGTTTGCTAACTTGCGTCATTCGTGGCGTCAAAAAGACATCTCACTAGCAGGCTAAAATAAAGGCTGCGTTGTTGTATGGCTGCGAGACATGGCCTCTGCGGGTAGATGATGTGAGGCGTCTTCAGGTTTTCGACGACGGACGCCTCAGAAGCGTGGCTGGTTTCGGATGGCGTCAGCAGATTAGTAACGCAGTGATTAGAAAACGGGTATTTAGTTGTGCAGCTGGTAATTCGATCAGGGAAAACATCCAACACCATCATTTGCAGTGACTCGGTCTTGCGCTACGCATACTGAAACACCATCTACGGAGACGAGTATCGTTCTCTATACCGCCTTCGGAATGGCGCGAACCGCAAGGTAGACGATTTGGCAGAAGGGCGTGAGTGAGATTACGAGAAGTTTGGGTGTTGTTGGTGTCATACGCCTTCCAGGATGGGGTCCCCGTGACCCCGTCTGTGCTTCGCTGGAGACGTTGCAAGAAATGGCGGCTAACGTGCTGCTGGTCTCGAAGAGTTTCCACTTGCTCTTTTCAAGAATGGTGGTGGATTTCTCAGTTGGTGCCTGTCTAGCCTAGTTGGGTCTATCTAGGAGAAGACTGTCCCAGACAAGTGGATTGAATCGATAGTAATGCCCATTTTCAAAAAGGTTACTCTCCGTGAATATAGTAACCACAGAGGTGTTAGTTCGATGCCTGTTGCGACAAGGCTTCTGGCGTCACCGATTCTTTGTCGTCTTACGGTGGTACGTGAAGCTCTTGACTCGTGAGGTTCAAGCGGGATTTCGACCTGGTAAAGGCTGCGTTGACCACACATTCACACTCCATCAGGTGTTAGAGCAACGTCACATGTACAGGTGACCCACAATCTTGATATTCCTAGACTTGACGGGTGCGTTTGATTCTGTCGATCGATCAGTGCTGCTAACTTCACTTGCTTAAAAGGATATGCCCCAGAAGTTCGTGAACATAATTCGATCCCTATATTCACATACTTCTGGGCGGGTGAGGGTGTATGGTGAGCTCTCCAAAAGCTTCCCTACAAAAAGTGGTGTCAGACAAGGATGTCCACTCT